CCCCAAAACCCCAAAACCCCAAAACCCCAAAACCCCAAAACCCCTATTTTCCTTGCCTCACTTGAAATTTCATAACCTTAAAAATCCCTTCGAGCACTTCGAACTTGTTTCATCATGGGCCCAATTCAGTCACCATAAAATTCCAACTGAGAATCCTTTGGGCAAGAATTTACGAACAAATTAGAGGAAATTTGTTCAAAAAAGGTTCTTGAAATTAACTCTCACTTAGCCCAAAAATTAGTTGAACCAGTTATAATATTAGATTTATCTCTCATTCTTATCCGATCCCTTCTGTCACAACTCTTGTGGTATGTCCATGTCTCAGTATAACATGATTATTTCGCACTTCCAGTGTATTATCAGAAATTCTTGTAATGAATTGGTCCGAAAAAAGATTTCTAAGTTTAAGGGTGGTTCAAAGCTATTGATCTGATCAAAGCCTATCCTTTATCAGAGATATTATGAATATACTAGCATTGCTGATATATACACTTTAATTAGGACTTCTGGGGTAATGAGTCATAAAGAGGCTCTAAAGTTGTATTCCTGGTGTTTACTTTTTTGAAATATTTTTCAAAATAGTACATTTGCTTTAATACAAACAAGTTTCTTATTTCCTCAAGATTCCAAGAAAGTTTCAATCATAATAGTTAAACTTGTTACAAAGATTGTGACTCAGCTGTATTTAACTGAGCATATCTTGGAGTGTCAAATTCTCTGAGCAAAGGTTATAGCATGACATGTGAAAGCCGGAAGATTGCTAGTGGATAGTCAATCTTTCATAGAAATCCTAAGTAATTACTTAATACAGGAGCGTGAAGCCAATAACAGAGTTAAGAAGGAATTAAAATTAAATATTTTATGTGAATTAAAGGCAGATTTTGTCTTATTTGATCCTTAATCAGTCTCTTTTCATTGTGCATCTGCTCAATGCCAGTTTCAAATCAAAGATTAGTCATCAAGCTCATTGTTTGTGTATCTGCAATTAATTCATGTCTATTTTGGAGCATTACAGATCCCAAACTCGACAATTTCTTCATTCAAAGATGTCTAATTACTTATTAAATGGGGTAATTTAAGATTCTTAATAATGATCAAAGAGGGTCCATTATCTTACCGAAGGCAGAATTATTTCAGATTAATAGATACTGACTATTCTCATTCAATCGGCCATCGTTTAGCTTAAACCTTCATGAATTTCTGTGTGAAATCATACCAACAGAGCATGCACTAAAGAATGAGAGGATTAACGATTAGAAGTCTCTAAATAGTTCTAAAATCATAGATTTTAATCTTCCAGAAACTCTAGTGTATCGAGGTGTCTTATTCGAAGTCCCAGATCAAAGATGCCAATGGTATTTATGATCAAAAACATACCTATGCAGGGTAGAAATCTGAAAGCACATGAGATGTGTAAAGCACAGGTTTGAAAGAAGTGTACTAAACAGATTAAAAAATTAGACTAAATGTTAAGCCATACAGAAGACAACATTTCCTCAAAAGCAGTTTACAATTCTTGAGTAAAATATTTCTCAGGATATAATTATGTCAATTTGACCATAATAAAATCGATCTCATGTAACTCTAGCTAAGTCAACATTATCGAAGAAAAAGTTGGAAAGCTCTGCAGTAAAATTCATCTCATGCAGTTTTGGGTTAGCATCATAAAGAAAGATCAAATTATTTATTGAATTGAAAAGAACACAGCTTATTCTCATTATTATTGATGCTTCGAAGTAAGTTATAAGCAAAGATAGGTTTTGTTATTAAAAAATTCTGCATGCCCAAATGCAATACTGTATTCTTCAAGCTGAGATTTCTAGCAAACTAGATTGTTCCCAGTTTTAATTTTCTAACCTTATCATGCAGTCAATTAAAGTTTATTTTTTATTTTTCTTAAAACATTCTATTTTTCCTTTTTTCATTCTAGATATCTCAGGCTCCTTCTTCCTCTCTTGTTTTTATATAACCTCTCTTTCAAAGTTCAACAAATGGCTAATAAATTGGGGTTTTGGGGTTTTGGGGTTTTGGGGTTTTGGGG